ATTGCACCAAGTTTGGGAGTGACCCAAAGGTGAGCAAAATTTGGAAGAAAAGCAGGAGTTGAAAACAAGTCCCATAGGGATGAGACCCATCATAGGTCTGTTGGTACCACGTCCTTATCCAACTTGGCGGAATGCAAAGAGACGCAAGCTGTGCTTTTCCAACTGGTGCTTTTCTTTTCTTTCTTTCTTTTTTTTTTTTTTTTAGATTTTATTTATTTAAGAGAGAGAGAGAGAACAGAACAAGCAGGGGAAATGGCAGGCAGAGGCAGAGAGAGAAGCAGGCTCCCCGCTGAGCAGGGAGCCCGATGCGGGACTCGATCCCAGGACCCCGGGATCATGACCTGAGTCGAAGGCAGACGCTTAACCGACTGAGCCACCCAGGAATCCCCTCCAACTGGCACTTTACAGGCACCTGCAGGTTCTCTGACTCCTGCAGTTGCAAGCCGTCCATAAGATTTTCAAACGTTGTACCTTCCTTTTGTTGATTATCTAAAAACTAACATAAGCACATTCTGGATTAGCTGGATGATCGGGTGCACGCCCACTGTGAATTTGGGGCAGGGCTTTGAGCTGCTGTCACGACATCACCAGCACTAAAAAGTTCTACAGTAATTGTCCCAGGGGAAGGGGAAAAAAAAGGAACGGAGATTTTAATATAAATGTGTTTGCCCCTCAGGAAAGCCAGGGGAATGTAGATTCCTGGCAAGCAGGGTCTCTGTCTGCTTCGCTCAGTGCTCTGTCCTTAGCCGCATCCCGGGCGAGCTGGGATGAATGAATGTTCTGTGTTGAATGAATGCACGGCGAGTAAATATTTCAAAAGCAGCTGGAGTACAGAAAAGAGGAGGAAGATTCGAGTTATCACAGGACACAGAAGAACCTCCGCTAGGGCCACATTCAAAGCAGCAGGAACTTGGTGGAGGCAAGGGAGGCCGTCACCAGGTTAAATGAATGTTCACTTACATTTTACTGACTTTGTCAATTTGTTTGTATCGACTTGTAAATTTATTTTATAGCGGTAACGGGTCTATGAGCAAAAGCCGTTTTATGTTTACACATATTTGAGAAACACGACAATAAAAGATAAATTAGGTCAACCCCGAGGGGCTGTGAGGATTTTTTTTTTTTTTCTCAGAAGGATTCCGTCTATTAGTTTTTCTAAGAAACAGGAGATAAACATTTTTTCACAATATGTGACCAATCCTGCGGCAAACGGATGTGCTTCCCTAGCCAAGAAAGTTAACCATTTCTCCAGATGGCGGAGGACACTCTGTCTCCTGATCAAAGGCTGCCAATGGTTGTTTTTCTCTCCCTTATAACCCGCAGTGTTACAACTTTAAGGCACACTGTGGGTTTTAATGTGCAGTTAATCTTATTTTCAGAGCTTGAGAGGGTGGGCGGTGGGAAGAGGTTACTGAGACTTGGCCTCTGCTTGGCTCACCAGCAGAAAGCGTTTTCTGCCCTAAGACAAGCTGAAGAGTATATGAAGCAGATGCCAAGTGATTAAGGTAGGTGGGCATCCAATGAAAGAGTGAATGAGATGATATTTTGACCCTGGGGTATTAGAAAGCCTCGGACTCTTTATTAAGGATGATGACGATAACTGGCCAGGGCTGACAGTCTCCATGTTCTGCCACCATCTGCAGCACCAATGATCCCTGCCTGGCTTGCTTAGTTCTTCAACTTGGCTCTTTGTGCCTGGGTGGTGTTGGAAGCCCACGGCAACAGGCAGCCGATAAAATCAAGCTGGGAGCCGCACTTGCTCCTCAGCTGGAGCCTCCTGGGGGCAAGAACACTGAAATCTGTAAATACACCAAGACCCGCATTTATGCTGACAGGAGTAGACCCTATTTCAGGACTGCCCAGGCTCCAGGGGTGGGGAGACCCTATATGTTGTGTGTGTGTTCTTTCCAATATAAGCTTTAAAGGGTAAAGACTAAGATACTGATCGCACACTTGCTCAATGAAGTTTAGCTCCTTCTTCCTTCCCCCCGCCCCTTCCAAGGAGTCTTAAAAAGCAAACCAAAGGATAAGTGTCCAAAGGTGATTGTTGAACTGAACTGAAATGGGCCTCTGGAGTTTGGGGCTCACTGCGGAACGCTATGCCCAGGTTTCGGGAACTTGCCTGATAAGTGAGAAAGCAGAGTGGCCAAGAGATTCAGATTCATGATTTGGGCAAGAGGAAAGGCAATGGATTAGGAGCTGATGACCTGGAGGCGATCTGGAGCGAGGGGAGGTTACCTTTTAGTAGCAGCACCATTTATAATAGCCAAACTATGGAAGCAGCCAAGTGTTCATCCACAGATGCATGGATAAGGAAGCTGTGGTAGATATATATGGTGGAATATTACTGAGCCATCAAAAAGATGAAATCTTGTCATTTGCAATGACACAGATGGAACTAGAATATAATGCTGAGCGAAATAAGTCAGAGAAAGACAAATACCATATGATTTCACTCATTGTGGAAGTTAAGAAACAAATGAGCAAAGGGGAAAAGAGAGAGAGAGAGAGACAAACCAAGCAACAGACTCTTAACTATAAAGAACAAACAGATGGTTACCGGAGGGGAGGTGGGAGGGGGGACAGGGAAACTGGTGATGGGGTTTAAGGAGCGCACTTGTCATGATGAGCACAGGGTGATGTATGGAAGTGTTAAATCACTACATTGTACACCTGACATGAATATAACACTATTTGTTAACTACATGGGAATTAAACTAAAAACTTAATAAAAAACAAGCAAAAACAAGAGGAGATGGTGACAATGAGCAGAGACTGGGAACCCTCGGCCAGGCACCTGTCAGCTTCCTGCTGGCCTGGGCCTCCTGGTTTCCTGCACCAGCTCCAGGCCCCTCCCAAGTCCATCCCCTGGGGGGCTGTCACGGGGGTTGGGGGGGTGGTTGGCGGGGCCGTCACTCAGAGTAGCAGTCCCAAGCAAAGTGGAAGGAGAGAAACAGCATGCAAATCGGGGACAACCCGTGGGGCAGCCTGGGAGAGCCGCCTGCTCTGCCCAAGCCTGACTTCGGCCCTTTGGGAAACTGGGATACTTCTCAAGAATGGTAGGAAGATGTATCAGATGGAGAGAAACGGCTTCAGGAAACCAAGCAAAAGGGCTCAGAGTGGGTTAAGATGGTGGCTTCTGGCCCGATTGTGCTTTCCCAGTCTTCCCTATCTCTCCTTCTCTGGCCACCAGAATAAGCATGAAGAAGGCATTTGAGAAAGAACACATACAGAATCAGAGAGATCGGCGGTGAGGCTTGGACATGTGTCACCATCGGTGAGGTTTTCTGCCATATAAATGGAGAGGGGAAATGAGAGAAAAGAAATAGTCACCAGATAGGGCAGTGGGGGCGCAGGGGAGGGGCTGGGGGGACAGAGGGGGCGTGGAGCAGTGGCTGTCCGACCTCAGCCCCCTCTGAGGCGTCCCCCCCGTGAGGGCGGGGAGTGATCTCCCCATCTACAGATGGTGCCAACTACCACTGTTTGCTGAAGGAGTGTGAGATGCCCCTGGAGCCCGACGCTTGGAGCTCCCTGCCACTGTGCGGAGACACGGGGCCCTGGAGCTTCCAAATTCCTCCCGAGGACTGGGATGCAAGGCTCCCCAGGGACCTGCTTCTCTTTTCTCTCCTCCCCCTTTGACTTTGTTCATTCCTCTTCTCTGCCTTGGCCTCTTGGCCCGCCACCCCCACCACCTTCAGGTCCACAGGGACCCTGTGGGGTGAAGAGGGTGCCGTCCTGGGATGCTGGCCTCGGGCTCTGGCCTGTCTCTCCAGGTAGCTGAGCCTCTGGGAGGTAGCCCAGGTGAGTGCTGACAGCAGGTGCCCATATGAACACAGAGAGCCGCCCATGGTCCTGAACCAGCCCCACCACTGTGCCCCCTGCCAACACACATCAACAAGCAAACCCAAACATCCTGTCCTGCTGCACAGGACACCAAAGAAGGGTACTTCTCTCTCGCACGTTCCGGGATACTTGCTGCTATTCGTATTTCAGAGGTGCAGCTTGGAGCACGAAGGAGCCCCAGATGCAGTGAGCGTGCTGGAGCACTAGAGGGCGCGGGCTCCCACTCCATCAGAGAACTGGGCTGGTCTTGCGGCTTACTTTGGTTTGAGGCCATTGGGCCCCTTTCCTGAAGAATGAAGGATCCCACTGAGTACCTCACCAGGATTTGGATCAAAACCTCAGCCAATGGTAAAACAGGATGATGCCTTCTTTATATTTTTCCTTCAAGACCCACACAGAGGGAGAATGGTGCAGTCAGGGCGGGATTCCTCCCCAAAGCATCGTATCACAATTGTCTCTCAATGTCTCCCTTGACCCCCCTGGGAACGTGCAGACCTTAGCTCTCTTCACTTCACGGTGGCCCTGAGACTCTGATATTAAAGTCTGATGAGCTCCTTATTACCAAACGGCATTATTTTCCATCTCATGGACCCAGTTCTCATAGAACCCAAAAGAAAAATGGGAACGTCCACTGATATACATGTCTGTGTAACATCCAACAGGATAGACCTTCTTGGCCTCCTCAAAGAGAAGAGGGGCTGTCCTAGCTGAGGGGACCCCTGACCAGACCCACCTCCATGACAGAAGGTCTGGCATCTTTAAGGATTTTACATTTCCATGACAAAAAGGGGCAGATGCTTCTGGCAGAGGCACTGTGGTTTTGAGAGGTGTCAGCGGCTGCATGGCATCAGGAGCGGGCAGATCAGGGCAACGCGGCCAGGTCGCCTCAACCCTCCTCTTTTCAGCTTCCTGCGCCAGCCTGACCCTCGTATGCTGGGGGCCACCAGGGGGTCAGTGAGTGAGTGCCAAATGTCAAATTCTGTCCCTCTTTGGGGGAGGAAGTTGAGTCCAAGTGCAGGCTGGTTTTCTCAGCCTCTGCTCTGAGGGATGCTGCTCACAACAAGACCAAACCCTCAAACCAAAGGCGCCCTCTGCCATGTTCCAGGAACTCCCCCCGAGCCCCGGGTTCTGGAGGAACCAAGAAGCAAGCAAGGCTGTTTTGGGAAGTGCTCACATGTATTTATTTCACAAGGGAGGAATGGGGCGGGGGACGATCACCAATTAAGATGCCACCAAATGAGACACTGTGAACCCCAAACTGGGCGACTACAGGATTTGGTTCTGGGCAGGGCTTGGCCTTTGGGGATAGCATGAGGGACAGAGAGGGAACTGGCCAAAGGGACAGCCTTCATCTGGGGCTCCACATAGGGCAAGTCTGGGCCACGTCCTCCTGGCCAAAGAAGCATGGCCAACCCCCCAGCTTCCTGCAGCCTTGTCCCGATCCAGGTGAGCAAGGAAGCGACAAGCCCAAGGCCACACGCTGACATCTGCTCTATCACACACTCCTATGCACACACCCGGACACCCTCATGCACGCGCACACACACAGTCACGCACACCACAGGCACACACACTCATAGGCATGCACACGCGTCCATATATTAACTCTGATTTATAAGTGCACCCTAACCAGAGGGCAATCGAAAAAAATTATTACTCTTCAGAGAGGAATCGACTGCCTTCTCCCCTGTCAGCCAGCAGAGCATGGGGTGAAATGAGGTGAACACGGAGCATCCTCCAGGGTCCAGGCCCCCTCTGTTGTGCCGGCTTCAGTCCTTAAGCTCTGGGTGAGTCAGGGCTCCCTGATCCCCGGGGTGGGGGAGCAGAGCTGCACCGGCCCGGCTCCAGCCCCAGGGGCCCCCTCACAGCCACGACCTCCCTATGCGCTCAGCCCCTCCGTCTCTGGCTCCCTGCAGACGCAAGCAGAGCAGCTGGCCCATGAACACCGGAGCCTAGAGCCCCACCACGGAAGCATTAATTCCTTCCAGGCCATCTTAGGGAGGGTCCAGAAAAGTCCAGGGCTGTCCATCTGATGGAAAGGTTGGGGGTGGAGGCTGCCTTGTAAATGGGCATCTGGGCAGAAGCAATGTCGAGGGACACAGAGTCTCAGGGTCTCTTCCAAGAAGGGGGAGACAGGATGCGGCTGAGCACCACCCCTGACTCTGTTGAGGCCTGGGGGTGGCATTCAGAAGCTGCTGCAAGAGATGAGAAAGAGGGGCCCCTGCCAGTCCCAGTCCTGAGAGTGGCTGGGGAGAGGATGCAGAGGACATGGGGGTTCACTCTGTGGTACGTGGTCCGCATCCAGGCGGCAGAAGACACGGCTCCTGGGTTTCCAGAGGAGGGGTGCGGGGCTTTTCCAGGGAGCATAGGCTTCATGGCTGCTGAGCGCCAAAGGGGGGGCACCAAGTCTCCATCCGGGGCCCCTGTGCTGCTCTGGAGAAGCCCCGGGAGGCCCGCTGAGCACCTGCTGGCTTCCTGCTGTCTCTCTACCAGTGCGGCTGGTCCAGAAGACGGCAGACCCCAGGCCGGGGGCCAGGCTCTGGGGGCCCCTGCTCCCCCCCACCCCCGCTACTTGATCGAGTTCTTAATTGTCCACCTCTGTCCCGTGCAGCTGCGGAGGATGAGATCGATGCCAGCCAGGCCCCGGTTCTCCACCTCTAGGCATCGCCCTGTGCCCTTATTCATGATGGCTCCATTCTGGGTAAAAGGAGGAGAAAGACAGAGAGACAGAGACATAAAGAGACAGAGAGAGAGATACAGAGACAAAGAGAGACAGAGACAGATGGATGTAGAGATACAGAGAATAAGGTAGAGAGAGACGGAAAAGAGAATGAGAGAAAGAAACAGAGAGAGACAGAAACGCAGAGAGAGAGAGAGATGGAGAAAGAGGTTTAACCACTGTAGTGCCTGGCACATGGCCTCTCGTGGGGAGCAGTCCCACCAAAATTCTTTGCACAGGGGGAGGGATCAACAGAGCCTCCTCCAGAAACCCCAAAGCCAGAAAATGTATCAGCTTCACCAAGTTTGAATGGCAGAACCAGGTGACAAGCACCGATGGGGGATGGTGTCCGAGTGGGGTCTGACTTTCTCCATCCTACTGGCTACTTAGCAGATTTCAGAGAAATCACCGCACGCTCCCCTCCCAAGGTTCATCAGAGCCCAGCCTGCCTGATGCTGCTGCAGGGACCTGGGAGACTGTCACACCTGCAATACTCCTCCGCTGATTGCCCCTGGACGCACTTTGGGTTCATGAGGCTGGCCCAGGGCTGGAGACCTCGGGTGCTCTTTGCTGGGGAAGTTAGCTCCCCCTGTGGCCCGCAGCAGCCTCCCCTGCTCTGGGGTGCTGGCTCTTTCCCTGGGGCACTCACCTGGATGAAGTTCCAGCGCTTGTACAGGCTGCTCTTGACTTTGTCACAGTCGAGGAGTTGGGGCAGCCGACTCTTGGAGTTGTCCACCAGGCAGCGGGTGTCGGGGAGGAGTGTGGTGGTCCCCAGGGCGCCCAGGTGCAGGAAGCCCTCCTTGGTGTAGCGGGCAAGCTGGGGAGAGAGCAGAGGAGAGGGTGGGGAGAGGTGACTCAGGTCTGCAGGTCCCACCCATGCGTCCCTGGCTTGCTAAGCCTGGATACAGCGTCTCCAGGGTCAGGCGGATTTCTTTCTAAGCATGTCCTCAGTCAGCGTTTCTGGACTGTGGGCTTCTGTCCAGCAACATGAGGGAGCAGAGGAATAAATAAAAGAGCAGGACGTCTGATTTCTAAAGCTTGGCTCTGCTCCCAGCTGGCTGGGAGCAGAGGAATAAATAAAAGAGCAGGACGTCTGATTTCTAAAGCTTGGCTCTGCTCCCAGCTGGCTGGGAGCAGAGGAATAAATAAAAGAGCAGGACGTCTGATTTCTAAAGCTTGGCTCTGCTCCCAGCTGGCTGGGCAACCCTGAGTAAGTCACTTAACCTCTCCGAGTCCGCATTTCCACCTCATTTGTAAATTGGGGTTAATTAATTAATTCCACTCTGGTGTAAAATACCCAAAGAGGCAGGTCACTGAAAAAGAAACAGATATATTAAAAAACATTCAACTTAACAGGTGTTAAAATAAATAAACTAAAACAGCAAGGTGATACCACATTGAAAGAAAAAACAAACCTATTCTCATTTTGTCAAGGTTAGCATAAAATGGGCTGGAGTGGGGGAAAATTACGACAACATTTCAAAAAGGGGATTTCAAAATATATTCTTTGTGCTTTAAAAAAAGTTTTTTTTTGTCTTTTGACCCAATAAATCCACTTTTAGCAATTTATCCCAAGGTAACAATCAAAACCGGGAACACAAGTTAATGTATATAGGATATTTGCTGCAATGTTATTTATAATGACGAAAAAGCAGAAGCGTCCTAAAGGCGCACCACAATCCTGGTACCTGCTTTCCGCTCCATGCACACCAACAAATGCTGGGGGATTGTGGGGGCACTGGGGTGGCTCAGTTGGTCAAGCGTCTGACTCTTGGTTTCGGCTCAGGTCATGATCTCAGGGTTGTGGGCTCGAGCCCCAGGTCGGGCTCCATGCTCAGCAGGGAGTCTGCTTGAGATTCTCTTTCTCTCTCCACTCCCCCCAACTCCTGCTTGCTCTCTCCCTTCCCACAAATAAATAAATCTTTTTTTTTAAAGCCACATCCTTCACTCTTCCTTCTATACACCCTGGGCAATAAGACTTTCGAAGCAATGTCCTTCAAGAAGTGAAGTCTGTTTCTCCATCCCCTGAGTATTGGTGACTTGCTTTGACCAACAGAATATAGTGGAAGCAAAGATGTGCCAGTTCCTGGACTAGACCTTTAGCCTTGCGTGCCTCCACCCTCTTGCTCTTGGAGTCCTGTTGGCACCGTGGCAGTAAGCTCTGGATGGCCCAACCAACAGCCAGCCAACCAACCACCAGACAAGTGGACAAGGTCGTCCTAGATTAGGCAGCCCTTGGCTGACCTGCTAGGTGCCAAGAGATGTATGAACGAGTCCAGCTGAAATCAGCCGAGCCTGGTCCGGATCACAGAACCATCCAGCTGATCTGGATAATGCATAATACATGCATATTGCTTTATGCCACTAAGTTTTTTTGGGGATAGTTGTTATGCAGCAAGAGCTAACTGATACGGAGATGGTGCTGCCTATCAACTCTTCCCACAGCAGGACCCATGCTACTCAAGTGGCCTCCCTCTCCTGCCTATCTGTGTTGTTTAAAATTCTGTATTCCAACCTTTGAGCAAATGCATTCATCTGTCTTTCACATTCTTTTAGGGGCAGGGACTGTGTCTAATTAATTTCCTTCTTTGCTAGGAGAAAATCACAGACCAAGTGCTCAAAAAATGTTTGTGAATGAGCACATTATAAATGTGGTAAGCGACATCATTTAAAAGATGCAGCTACGTCCATTCATTTTAAACTCCATAAGCATGTTTTGAAGAGTTCTCTGTGTGACCAGCCTGGGAACCGGTTTCTGAGAATATGAGGACGTGGCTGTGTTCCCACTGATAATTCCAGTGCGGGCTGGTGAAGGCAATGAGACAGGAAAGTACATGTCTCATTTTTGCTCTCACATCCTATGAGGTGGCGGGGGTAGGAGTGAAGATTATTAATATACAGCTAGTGCCGAATAAATTAAAAAATAAAATTACCAGCTTGCATGTATTAAAGGCACACTCTGCATCATTTCTAAGCATTGTACAGAGAATAAAGAATGTGATTTTTATAACTCAGTGAGGTAAGTTTCTATTACTCTCCCCGTTTTAAAGATGAAGAAATTACGGTCTGAAGACATCTGGTCACCTGGCTGGGTCCTGGCCTCTCCCCTTGGGACCCTAGAGACCCACATGGTTGGCTGCCCTGGCCCAGAAGCTGAGCAGCAAAGGGGCCTCTGCCTAGATGATCCTGGGCTTCTCCTGAGAGTCTGGGCATTCTGGCCAGGAACGAAGCCAGAAGGCAGCTCTGGGCCACCAATGCCTCTTCTCCAGGGGATAAGATTTTCTGCAGGGGTTCTCATTGCTGATGAAAACTACTCAGAAACCCTCTGCCTTCATCCCCAAAGGGGGGCCCACCTGCCCCCCTCTGAAACAAGTGACAGGGAGTCTATTAAGTGCCCTTGAGAGAGATGCGGTTAACATGCGCTTTAAACCCAAATTAGTTCCAAATCAGAGTGATTGTCAGAGGCAAAATGATAAGAAAATCAAAAGCTCTCCTTGCCCCTCCCTAAACAATGTCTCTCTGAATATACTCAAATTCACCAAATGCAAAGTGATGAATGACAGCAAGCTGCTTTTATGTTCAGGGGAAAGATATACACAGCTTCTTACTGAAATTATGAATCAATCTATTATCCAGCAGGCAAATGAACAGCACTAAGAACATTAATTAACTGAGCATATCTGTGACCCAGATGTTTAAAGAGCGAAGCTAAATGCCACCGAGAGTTAGAGGCTCTCCTTTCTGAGGTCTGTGAGCAAAGGATGAGACCGCAGCTACTAGGACCTGCAAAGCCAAGCACCAGCCCCAAGCTGTGCAGGCATTGGGGTGGGCAGGGAGGGTGGGGAGGTCCTACAGGATTTCCATTCTGGGGGAAGGTGCTTTCTCAAGCCAAAAACACATGCATAGGTTCTGCTGGCCTGGCCAAGGGGCCGGGGTCAGGGGAAGGGCGCTGTGGTCTGAAAGGATGGTGGGGCTAAAGTTACACCAACAGATGTCACACTGCTTCTCCCCCACAAGGTAGGAGGGTGGTGCGTGCGCAGACCTCATGCCAAGCACATCCTCCTTCTTGTGCCAGTCCTGGATCGCTAGTCTTTGTGGTGTCTTTGGACCACTGTCTGGTCCACCTCCCCAGCTCCCCATCCCTGATATTCCTTAAGGACCTCTGCTTCCTGTCCTCTGCATGTGCAACAGGCTTTCCTGCCTTCAAGGCTTTGCTCCAGCTGATTCCTTTATTGGACTTCTTCTAGAACATTCTAGCTTCAACTTTCCTAGACTTCAGCACAATTCTTTCCATCCCACAGTGTCTTCTGTAACTCTTCCACCCCCCAGCCCCCCACACCTCCTCTCAAGTCTTTGGTGCAACATGATCCATATGCTCTGGTGTCTCACTCCAAGGTGGTGTGGGAGTATCTCATTTCCTCTTGACCATTCTGGGCATCCACTGACTAAGTGATGGATATTTGGGTTTCTCCACTTTTTGGCTATTATGAATTATGCTGCTATGAACATTCATGTATAAGTTTTTGTGTGACATATGTTTTCAATTCTCTTAACTCTGTATCTAGAAGTAGAATTGCTAAGTGTTGGGTCATACGGTAAATCTGTGCTTAAATTTTTGAGGAGTTGCCAAACTGTTGCAAAGCAGCTGCAGAGTTTACAGGCCCACCAGCAATGAGCCAGGGTTCCAATTCATCCACATCCCCATAAACTCTTGTTATTGTGTTTTCCTTTCTTCTTTCTTTCTTTTTAGAAAAATTCTAGCCATTGACTGGCTGTGAAGTGGTATCTCATTGTGGTTTTGATTGGCATTTCCTTCATAACGATGTTGAACATCTTTTTATGTGCTTTTGGCCACTTGTAGATCTTTGGAGAAATGTCAATTCCAATCTTTTTCCCATTTTTCAATTGGGCAAATTGTCTTTTTTATTGTTGAGTTGTAAGAGTTCTTTATATATTCTGGATGCTAGACCTTTTCAGATACATGTATGAATGGAGGTATTTTCTCCCATTCTGTGGATTGTTCTTTCACTTTCTTTTTTGTTTTGTTTTGTTTTGTTTTTTCATTTTATTGAGAGTATCCTTTGAAGCACAAAAGTTTTTGATTTTGATGAAATTCAACTTATCAATTTTTTCTTTGATTACTTATGCTTTTGATGTCATATCTAAGAAACCACTGCCAAATCCAAGGTCATGAAGATTTACCCATATGTCTTCTAAGAATTTTATAGTTTGAGCCCTTACATTTAGATCTTTGATCCATTTTGAGTTAATTTTTATATATGATGTAAGGTATGGGTCTAAATTCCTTTTTTTCTAATGTGGACATTTGCTGTTCCAAGATTGTTTGTTGAAAAGACTTTTTCCCTATTGAATTGTCTTTTCATCTTTGTTAAAAATTAATTGACTGTAAATGTGGGACTTATTTCTGGAATCTGAATTCTATTCCATCGACCCATGTGCCTAACCTTCTGAGAGCACTACAATGTCTTGATTAGTACAGCTTTGTAGTAAGTTTAGGAATTGGAAGTGTGAGTCTTCTTTGTTTTTTTTCAGTGTCCTTCTGGCTACTCTGGGTCCCTTGCATTTTCATATGAATTTTAGGATTATCTTTTCCATTTCTGCAAAAAAAGGCAGTTGGAATTTTGGTAGGTACTGCATTGAATCTATAGATCAACTCAGGGAGGACTGCCATTAACAGCAGTGAGTCTTCTGATCAAGGAACATAGGATGTATTTTTTTTATTTAGGTCTTTCATTTGTTTCAACAATGTTTTGTAGTTTTCAGTGTATGAGTCGTTCTCCCCCACAGGGGAAGTGT